TGAAGGTAAGATGTCGCTCGATCACGGAGAAAATCCAAAAACTTAAACGCTACGTGACTGTCGAAACAAGCCCGCGGTGCCATTTTGGATTTATGTGTGCAGGGTCATTGTCACGTGACCTCGATAAAATCGAACAATAACCTATCCGACTGAAGTTTGCCGCGTTTCCTAACCAGTCTCCTCTACTAACTATGGTGAGAGGAAGTTCCCGAAACCATCAAAACAACACCTAAACAGTTTAGATAAGCTGTTACCTCCTTGCCTATCAAGTTGATGTAAGACTTAACGACCGTTCAAGCTCAGGGCTCCATAACAAACAGCGGCGGTTGGAGACGGAGGATCGGAACTTGCACCAAGGAGCACCCGACTGACGGCTGTGTGAACAAAATGGACCAAAGCCCGAGACAGGCTCGAAATTAAATAATAAGTAGTGATTATACAATGCTTTGAGCAACCAAGGAGAGCGAGAGCATTAGAAAAAAACTCGCGAAAGCTGCAAAGCATTCAAATCTTGAAATCATTGAAGTTCTAGACTAATGCCGCCGCTCACCTTGCAATCAGCCTGTCATGATGTCATATTTCGGATTAAGTGCACTTAGGCAACACTTATTTTCCAATGTATGTTTTGGCTGAACCTTTTGAATCAAAGTATTTTTGTTTGGACATGTAGATATTTGGTAGAGGCGTCTGTCTGTTTGGAAACATTACCACGCCTGAATATCCGTTTTCTGATGAAAGTTACTTTTGATAACAAATTTCGGTAAACGAATAAAGTCACATCGGCTGGTCTTAGTTCACTTCAAATTTCCTAGCTTTACAACAGAGAGGGTGGCACTCAAACTTGATAGAATTTTCTTATCTTATTACCTAGCAAGATAACTGAAAGATGAGAGGAAATATATAGATTTAGTTCACAAGAACTCAGCCTCCGGCTTTATTTCTAGGAAATAGGGACTCAGCCAAGAGTTACTACCTAGAAATGTTCACACAATATTTTATGCGTCTACGCACTATAATGGTAGTTCATCTTGATGCAGAATGCATCTCTTGAGGCTACATTTTCCGTTTTCAAAGAGTAACGGCGTAACTAGGAGAATGAAAATAATAAAATGTAGAATGATGAAAATAGCAGCTTCTGCTTAAATGCTTGTTTATTAATATCATTATTATTATTATTCCCCTTCAATGCCATCTTATCTAAAAAATTATTTTCATTATATTGCTGTGGGGGTCCGGACGCTCGACAAGGTCTTAACTGATTGCGATATTTATAGCGTAAAAAAATCACAATACTAATGATGAGCAATGCCATACTCACAACCGCTGCTATCTTCCACCCTGAGCTGGTACGATCTGGAAAATAAAAGATACAATATCACTCTAGTGAGTGGGCCAGCAGCTAAGAGTGATATGCAAGAAGAAAGTAGGAAAATTTTTAGTGTAATAGTGTTTCATCTTTACATGCTCACTTTGGAGGTTGGTTGGCCGCATCTTGATATGCCTTAATGTGACAGCGTGATGCTGTTAGTGAGTTTCACAGGTGCTTACCAATACTTGGCTGTGTAGCCGCGCGATGCGGTTCCAGTCGAGGCCCACAAATTGACCCTTGCTCACCATAGAGTCTCCAGTAGCTCAGTGGTTAGAGCATCCGACTAGATCACGGAGGGTCGTGGGTTCAAGTCCCATCTGGGGCTCGGATTTTTCTATTACACTAAAAATTGTTTCATCTTTACATGCTCACTTTGGAGGTTGGTTGGCCGCATCTTGATATGC